AATTTTCACACTGTAAGTACAGCCACTTTCTGCAGTCACGGTACATGCTGTGTGAGCACTTTCACAAACAAGTATGAAACTTCCTGACGCGGAATAGTACTATGACATCCTCAGGGGGTTTGGTCTCATCTGACAGCCTGAAGAATTTTATTTATATGTACACATATGCATATGCACATACGCGTACATATGCATGTGTATGACATGTCAGTACACATGCAGATATATTATAATATCTAATGAATACCTAATTATAATACCTAATGAATACAGTACACTCTGCATAACTAAGGAAACTTGTATTCATATCTGTTCCAAGGTTGAAACCAAACATAACTTAAATCTAAAATAAAAAAGGTATGTTGCCTAATCTTCAGTGCTAACATGACAATTTCTGATTGTATCTTTCAAAAACCTTCCAGGAAAATTTTTAAAATTTTTCTTAATTTTATTATAAATAGCAATGTTTTTAAACAACACATGCAAATTCTTAAGTGTTCTCTACACCCTGGTGTCCAAGCTCCAGACTCAAAATGAAACCCAAAGGAAAAAAGCCCGTACAAACACAAAAACTAGTCTTTGTAATCCTTCAAAACACGTAAGAGGAATTTCATTACCTTTAGCTGAACACATCTTTTCTTTTGGTTTATCTGTTTTCAATTATTGTTGTTTCTCTCATTTTTGGAGATGGCTGTCTTTCTAAAAGTGTGCAGAAAGAGAATATCTTAAAACAAACACAGCATCATGATCATTATCACACCTTGAGTACACTGACTGCATAAACTGCGCTAGACAATGAAGTCTTACGGCTTTCCACTAGTGTCATTAGGTACAAGGCTAAAATCCCACAAATGAGACATGAAAAGCACATCTTGTTCAATGTATCCCACACAAAAAACCAATGGTTTTCAATTATGTTATTTTAAATTGTAAATAAATCCACTCTCTACTCTCAGTAGACATCTCTTCTGGGATTTGTTTGCATGGAAAAGCAATAAAACAAAAACTAAATTGGTGGTAGATTAATTGTTCAGTGACTCTTTTAATTTTGAATCTATGAGTTGGTTTTCGTACGTGAAGTGACACTAGCACCAACTCCCCTTACTTTACTCCTTAAATCTCCCAGAATCAGATTCCAAGTAGCATAATACTCTGCCCTTTCCCACGCTGGAGAGACATGTTATTTTTTGTTCTCTTCAACAAATCTGACGATGGCTAAATGCATCAAAGAACAATGACTGAGGAAAATATAAACCAGCTGCAAATTACACATCCTGATGTTTCCTATTCTGAATATAGCTAGCTAAAAGCAGTTCTAGAAAAGCACTGATACCAAACTTTGTGTAGGACTATAAGTAACTTCACACAGACAAAATTTCAAAAACAATTTGGCACAAATGGCTCGGCAAATCTCATAGAAACATTCCATAGAACAACATCCCATAAGTGCTCTTAACTGTACCATTACACAACCTTAGAATAAATAAAACACCGTATTTCTTCATAGCAGGTGAGATACTCAAAAGCACTGAAATTACTTAAGCCATTCAGACAATTCTGAAAACTCTGTCCAGAAATTTATTAGAGCTATGAGGAACGCGAGTTACTTTAGTAACACTGAAACCACAAATGCTTTCATGGATTCAAGGCAATGATATCTGTTATATAATTCACACATTAATTTCTGCATGTAACTGAGAATTTCTACGCAATTTTGTAATTGAACTTGCACTTACACTGTTGAGAGGTAATCAGCGAAAGATAAGGGACTTACCTGTATTATAACTTCTCAAAATCCAACTCAGTGGAGAACTCCAGAACTCACTATCCACTTGAGCTCAGAAGGACCAGGAGAAAAAGCAGGTTATGCCTAAGGACCGTGAGATAAACTTTCACAAAACGGGATCAGGGCTCACTGACCCATGAGGTACTGCGGAGAAAAGCATGGCTTTACCAGGAACTGAAAGAGCTAAGCCTAAGCACTTGAAGAAAGATTTGCCAGATCATAACTCATAAGGAAAACTCAGCCTTTATAAGAGCATTTCTGTTACAAATCACCCTTTTGTGAAAGCAGAATTCTAATATTGCTATTAATCACAAGCCATTATAACACATCACTTAATAACAGAGACAGTAAGAGATTAACACATCTTTTCCTAATATATTTCTCCTTTAGAACTATTTCAACATCACTAGAAAGTACCTTTAAAAACTGTCCTACTGGTACTCACTTTATAATAATACTCAAACTGTTGACTTCAAAGAAGGGACTCAAATTGCTATGATGTGACAGTTTCTTCTGAGAAAAGGAATGGAGAGACCACTGTGACAACAAAATTATTTTATGAGATCAAAACTACTAGTTAAAGGCATGAATCTACAGTCCTATGCCACAGTATTTAAAGCAATTAGATTTTTTTAAATAGATGTTCACAGAAGCTACTTAATCAACACTTGTTAGAAAAACAGAGGCAGTTCAATACCAACTGTATATCAAAGTTATGAAACAGAAACCCATCAGCATAGACTTAATATTTTTTTCTCCTATTAACATAATTATTTCCTACTCAGTAAAAATGAAAATGACATGTTAGCATTTCAGAAACAAGAGAAAAATGACCCTCTAGGCTTCATATGACTATCAAAACAAGCACCGGTACTTTATTTGCAAATTATCATGCATGAAATGATCGACTCAGCAAGTTTATCAGTCAACAAAGTGTGTGCTCTACCAGTTATAATCAATTTACATGTAATGATATGTCTAAATATGCATTTAAATGAGTTCTTGTCATTTCATGTTGATTGGCTGCTTTATCATCATAGATATGGACACTGACCATAGTTAATGTTGCAGAAACAGCAGAACATGCACAAGTTTCATCAGCCAATGGTAATGAAACATGAAGAAATTTGTTTTCATACAAAAAGACAGCCTCTGACTGCTAAGCCATGTTTATTTTCCAGTCAAGTTAACAAAAGTACTTTCTAAGAGGTTATTTTCAGGTATTTGCTGTATATGCCATGTCCACAGCAAATGTACAATATGAATCACAACAGTTTTCTCACCTCATAACTTACTGGATTTATCTTTCAAAGTATGAAAAGAACCCTGAGGCCGCCACAGAAAAAAGAAATTTCAGTATCATCCCCATTGTATATAAATATACATTAGTAGAACCTGCAAAAGGAATATTCTCGAGATTAAGAGAATTCTATTTTCTTTAACAGCCCATTAGTCGCATCCCCACAAAACAATCTTTACTACAATCGTCCAAAATTAAAAGTAACTGGAGCAAGTGAAATAAAGTTCCTTCACAGCAGACAGTACTGATCAGATGGTATGTTGGAAGAACGCAAGACAAAGCCAGGTTTAACATACAAGAATGCATAATTAAAGGCTAGCCTCAAAAATATCTTCATTTAATACAATTAAATTAATATAATGGCAATGACTTCATCAAAAGGACACTATTATGTGCTAAAGTTAATTTCACTTTACTTAGACCAGTGTAAGTCAGACTAATAAAGCTTAATATTTTCCAAACAGTAATCCTTTTCACTTCCCTTGGCTTTATTAATAATGTACATATTCAGGTAGAGTACTCAAATATAATTTTTACTGATATACAGAATCATTTTAATGCATTTTTGGAACAATTTCTTATTTTTGGTGTTCAGTAGTTGCTTTTGCTTTCATGAAGTAATACAGCAGATTTGTACTTAACATCATATATAGGTTTTGTCTATAGCTTTTTCGATTGTGGAATGATATGTTTCATAGATACGACATTTTAAAAATGCTGGATGAACCTGTGACCTTGCCAATACACAGATCAACCTTCAGAAACTGTGATGAGCATGAGTTGACACACATTTCTATCTGGGCCCAGTACAAGTACGGATACATTCAAAATGCTGTAACATCAGTATGATTTGCTTTTACTTTGGTGGTTGTGATATTCCAGGTGCAGATGCAAAGTGCACCTTAATGGTCCTCGTAGCAGTACTTCCATCCCCCTGTACTTTAAAGGCATCAGCTTCCTTTATTCTCCCTTGTAGCGAGGAGGTCTCTTCTCCTTAAATGCAAGAAGACCTTCAATTCTATCTTTTGTTGGAATAGTCTGCAATGAGCAGAGTAACAATTCATTACTGACACCAAAAATAATACCAAGAAATATATTTTCATACAAATCCTAGTTCTTCAGTGCACCCAATATGCAACATATGATACAACAGAAAAGAGAAAACTAAAATGTTTAGTCAGATACAGGAAACTACCTCGAAGGCATAATGTAAGGCTGAGAAACAATTCAGGAGAAGGAGGAGTATCTTTTCTCCAAATCGAAGACTGTGAGAAATTCTTTAGGGTTTGTTTTTGAGTTTTGGGGGGTTTTCTTTCAGTTTTTGGTTTTTTTGGTTGTTTGGTTCGGTGTTTGTTTGTTTGTTTGTTTGCTTGGGGGGGAGGTGTAGGTTATTAATCAGATCACCATATGGTTTAAATAAGCTTCCAATGCTGATGCTTCTATTTCTATGATCAAAAAATTGTATCAAAGTCCAAGAAGATACAGACCCAATACATAGTTCCCACGTTTTGCTGGTGAAGAAGTTTGTCTCGATTTTCTGTTGGTTAGCACATATGCCATTAGTGGCACATGTCAGTGAAGTGCCCTTCATGTTAATTCACTTTGAACTAAACCCAAGCAAAATAGTCAGTTCTTGGGCTACATGCAGTGTATGACCACCTCGATATAAACATCTGGTAGTGCTTCACCACCTTCACTGTAACAGTCCTGGCAGGGAGACGTTTCTGTCCTGAACTACATCTCCTTCCTTAAATTCCTTACAAAAGCAGAGTAATTAGAAGGAAGGTCTAAATAATGTCAAAGTATTTGTAGAAGAAAGCATGGAGCAATCTTGAGTTGAATTTCTGCACGTTTCATAACCAGCACCAGCAAAGCCTGTTTTCTGGGTTTTTGCATGTAATTGTAGGTACGTACCTGAGCGTAACAAGCTTCCTCAATTGCTAAACCTGTTATTAAGTCAACCTAAGGAAAAGAATACAATGTTTTTTATAAATGCATATTTTTCTACATTGATTATATATTATTTCCTGAGAGCTAACTTAAATACTGTGTTTCTACAAGCCACACACTAAAAGGCTTTGCAAAGTTTTTCTTCTATGCCGCTTTAACACAGAAATGCTAAAATGCCATGCGATGCGAGTGGTTAGTATTTCTGTTTCCTTATTTGGCAACAGTTTCCTTATTTGGCAATACAATTAGTATGTGATACACTGTCAAAACAATGTATGTTCTTCACTACAAATGAGCTGCACTAAAAACCATTTGCTACTTGCACATTTATAATCATTTCATTTACCACTGGGGAAATGATTTGATGTACTGCATGATTATTTAAAAATTGTTCTGAAACAACTTATCTTCAAAATGTCATAGAAGAACATGGTGCTATGCCACAAAACAAACATAAATTCAAGTTTAAAGGAATAAAAAAAGGGCCAATGGCCATCCAGCATCAACTAGTTCTAATAACTTTTTTTCTTTCTGAGCTGGCCTGAAGAGCTGAAAAGGATGAATTTTCCACTCACTACTTCTCCGCCCATCTTAAGCATGACCTGCTGCAGAACTTACCAGCTCTCCACATGGCCACTGAAAGGACAGTGGATATGTACCACAAGCAATTTGTGAAGGGGAGATAAGCTACAGGGTAGATAACCAGACAAAGTCGTGAAACCTCCGCCATGGAAGGTTTGTAACAATCGCTTAAACGAACAGTTGTCTTGATTGGTTTTGATAGAGTAGCTCTTGTCTTGGGGCCTTGAGAATGAACTAGTTAATCATTCAGACTCCTTCTAACCCTACTCTCCTCTAAACATGATTTTGATCTTTTAATCTGCTACACTTGGTAGCTAAAAAATTTAGCTTGTAGCATTTTGAACCCACGATATCACTGAAATAGATCTAGATTTCCACCATTACTTGCTGTGGAAACTAACAAACATGTTCTTCACACAACTGCATCTGAGTTTGGTTCTCAGCTCAAAACTTACAGGTAGTATACTTTGCTGAACTCAATTATATCACCCGAACTTATCTTCTTAGAGTCAGATGTTTGCATGTAGTGTGATCGTCCTTCCTTTGTCCTAGGTCGAGCTATAAGGTGCCCCGGTGCAAAGCTTATGCATGTGCTCAACTTTAAATACTAATAGTCCTGCTGAGCTCAGCAAGATGATGCACAAGCCTAAAGTAAAACATATGTCCAGACTTGTTCAGGGCTCAACTTTAATAAGCTTTAGAGCTAGGTCAATAATATTCAAGAACGAGTGGCAATCAGAATCAATTATGAAATCACAGACACACTTTTAACACGAAGCTCTAACAAACTATTAAAAATAAATAATATGCCCTTTGGCCTTTAACTTTTTTAGTGACTAAACACTGAGAGAACTGACAGATTTGACAGAGTATGATTTTGAGGTTTTTTTTCACCAAGTAAATGTAATTTCTTCAAAGTAGCACTAATAATTAGCAGAGTGCATTACTTCTGGACAGACATGAGGCTACTAAGCATTGTTACAGAAATCACAAAAACTCCTACATTTCATCTTCTAAAAACTTTCGACCAAATAGGCTTTGACAGACTATAGACCGAGAAACTATAAGCAGTTCTAGAAAAAAAACCACCACAGTAGACCTGTTGCCAGCCTGACTTCTGCTTACCCTTATAGAAAGTACATATCCTTACCTCCATTCCCTGATTGATGGCCAGTTTTGCAACTCTCATTGCTACTGGTCCCTAAAATGAAAGAAAAAGCTTATTTATATACCATCAAAATCTAGAAGGTTATGCAGTGAAGAGTCTGCACATCAGTGTTCCTACATTGGGACCTTCTAGACTTCGGGCTGTTATTTGTTATTTGTAGGAAATAGGTCAAATATCCTATATTACATCATACTACATGTTTGCGTCCAAACAGGTAAGTTTCAGTATTGAGAAAGCATGAAAGTACACGGTTTTCAAAATAACCTAATTAAAGTTCTGTGTTTGGTTAATGTTTCAAAGGTGTTGAGCATGTCCACTTTTGTCAAGCTGGCTCAATTCCCCTCAAAACAAGGCTCATGACAGCCACCTTAAAAGACAGCACTATAGGACCTCGCAAGGTCAATCTTTTGTCCCTATTATCACACAGGAAAAGATGTGATAATGAAATAAAATGAACCGATGCAGCTTCAAAATTAATATACGCTCCTGCAAAGTCTGTACTGGACAAGGAATGACACTGTGAGGTCCTCTGAGAGCAGAGGGATTTCCACTCTCTTCCCCATACAATGTGCAGAGAGACAACTTTGGGAATTGTCTCAGACCTGTGCCTGTCCATCAGCATAATTTTCTGAATGTTCAGACTCTGCTTTATAGAGGTGGCCTGCTGCTTTGGTAAAAGCAAAACACTTTTGAGCTGGTTCCAAAGTTATAACTATAAATCAACCTTCCAGAATCATTGTATGTTAATTTTTTTACTGTATTTTTCATGTTTGTCTTTCTATGACGGTGTTCAAGATAAAAATAACCAATGTCAAATGCCATATTTACTCTCTAATATTTTCAATTTTCAATAAAAAAAATTTAGCTGTTTAGCTAATTTAGTGGTTTACTAATTATTTTCTTCTTCTGCCTCCTACGAATTTGCTACCTGGGACTCTTCACTTCAAAAGGTTCAAACTCACATTTTTTTTTTCTCTGAACAAACAGCTTGCAGTCTACGCCAAGAGAAGAACAGGCAGCAATCAGCTACCACAAACTCTTGTAAGGGTCATACTTCTTACTAAAATTTTCAAGTTCTAAAGCACAGGAATTCAGCAAATCCCATTTCAATTATTTTATGAAAGATATAGGATGTCACTTAGAATGAATGACAGAGGAGGGCTGAGGCACCTCTCCTACGAGGACAGGCTGAGAGAGTTGGGGTTGTTGAGCCCAGAGAAAGGAAGCCTCTGAGGAGACCTCGTAGTGGCCTTCCAGCACCTCAAAGGGAAAGCTGGGGAGGGACTGCTTATAAGGGGGAGTAGTGACAGGGCAAAGGGCAAAGGTTTTACGCTAGAGCAGGGCAGATTTCAGTAAGTTGTTAGAAAAACTTTCTTTACTATGAGGGTGGTGAGACACTGGCACAGGCAGCCCAGAGGTGGTGGAGACTCCATCCCTGGAGACATTCCAGGTCAGGCTTGATGGGGCTCTGAGCACCCTGATCTGGTTAAAGATGTCCCTGCTCACTGCAGGGGGGTTGGACTGGATGGCCTTTAAAGGTCCTTTCCAACGCAACACATTCTGTGATTCTATTTTTTAATCAAGCTTATACTCAAAGGACAGAAAACAAACGTTCCACTAATAAATATGTTTTGCTTTAATACTGAAATTACAGTTAGCTTTATGCTTTCAAAACAGGAAAACAGGAGTTACAGTGAGATACATCCACTTTCATATGGATCTTTTTGCCTCTCTTCTGAAGTGTTCAACAGCAACAGAGTAACTTACTGAGAAAACTGCTTTACTAAAAAATAACCCCATACAATATTTTTTTAAAACTTGAAAGGTAAAGTACATGATACAAACACGGACCATATCATGATGATATAAGGATTGACAGATTTTTGCTTCACTGTGAAACAATTACCAAGTGATATCCCTCAATACAGGAGAGAGAAATCTTCATTGCTCTCTATGCAACTCAAACGGCTTTTTAATACACAGCTTCATGACAGTTTTTCTAAATATAGCTGGTTCTTTTTAAGTTTTAATGTTTGGGATAAACTAAAATCAAAATAATTTGTTTTACCTGAGGTAAAAATTCTCTTGCCAGAGCTAATGCTCTTCTGTATGCAGCATCCCCCGCTTCATTCTGTTCTACCACATGGCTAATCAATCCAATTGATTTTGCTTCCTCACCGTCTACAATACGTGCAGAGAAGATTAGTTCTTTTGCCAAAGACACTCCAATTGTGCGAGGCAACCTCTGTGTCCCTCCTAAAGTTTGGAAAAAGAGAAAATGCAAGTGTTAGTTTCCCATCCATTTTTACCACAAATGTAGATGCCTTGTTTAGGTCAAATATTTTCATTTTTAATTCTATGAACAATCATATGAACATACAGAAATTAAACCAGCATACAAAAGTATTCCTAAATGTCTTGTACTGTTCTGAAGCTACATCTAAAATGAAATCAATTGCTCTGTTTTTCAGAAAGACATGTACATCACTGAAAAGACGAAATATTAACAGAGCTTCTGTCCAATTACAGACAACTTACCTTCTAACAGCCAAAACATGAAGGAAAACTGCTTCTCAGAAATTATCATATCAAAAAACTCTGCTTCTTTTTAATGACTTGTATATTTTTAGTATATTAATCACCACAATATGAATACTTTTGAAGAACTATACTCAAGAAGAAAATATACAATAGCAAGACTGTAGTCCATGCTACAACCACTAGCCAAGGTCATTAAGAAGCAGCGGTTTTGTCTCTTTTTATTTCCATATTATTGATGACAACTAGAACCTTGATTACAAAAACTAGGGAAGGGTAATAGCAGGTGTGGATTGGCAGAGAAAGGCAGCTAACTTTAGTTAGCTTTTCTTACCACAATAAAAAATTCTTTGGCAGATCAGGATTTTCAAAGGGTCAGTAAGCAGTAACTACATTAACCAGACATGTGAAGATTGCTTAGCTGGACTACCAATTAACTTTCCAGAACTGACAAACAACGAGAATATAGGAATAATCATTATACAAAATTGAAGAAATAGACTCAAATCACAGAAGTAGATGGTTTGTAAGAATTAGAACAGTTGCAATGGCCGTTGTCCAGGAGAAAGGATTTTGAAAATACACAAGGTCTCTAATTTTGACATGGATAGGAAACAAATAGTCAATTTATATAGACAGTCTGTAAGCAAAAATTTCTTTCCAAATAGCTATTTCTGCAAGAGCATGCTAATACATTCAAATATAAATATATGCATATATTCAGGAAGAACATTTATAGGAGGTGTTCAAAGGGAGGTGATATAATACTGGATAAATGTGTATTCAACTAATACAAAATAGGTAAGTTTCCACTAGATAATGGTGGACCAAGCCAGTATTTTATTGAAGCCACTTGGTTTTCTCACTGATGTTTCCTGAAAATACTTTAAATACATATCTGAGGCAAATAAACTGACTGGAAATAAAGGAAAAGTTTTTGTGATTCAATGATTCAGCTTTCAACTATTGTTTTTTATGAATCAGAAGCTTCAGTTCTACTGTATGCTTTGCCATGAAAACAGACCTGCCTTTGAACACATTACATCATACAAAAATGCAAAATGTTTGGGGGATTTCTGCCTTATGCCTTTCTAGAATATTGCAAAATCATGATCTATAACAAAAACTGGGCTGTAACTGGAGAAATTTAAAAAATGCTTACAGTCATAACAGTTAAAATTTGTATAACAACAACTTTAGTAAATACAAATAGTGTGATATTCTCTGAGAGAATTTTAATAAGACATAAATTCTAGAATCCTAGTGGTCAAGGGCAACAGGCAACAGTAAGATCTCCAGTTCAACAAATTCTGCTGGTTGTACAACTAAGCCAGTGACAGTGCTAGGGAGAAAATTTTGCTAAGAGCCTAATTTAGAGAAAGCCCTTACTGTGGGGCATTATTATGAAAGGGGGGGAAGAAAGACACTAAAAAAAACCCTTTGCAAAATATTACAAACTCTGAAGCCTAAGCCTTTCTGCTAGCTTTGGCTGCCTCACTGGTGCGATTCACAGAGAATGACTAAAGCTGTAGCTATCAACCTTTAATCAGAACTATATGCCATAAAAATCTGAGCTGTGTTTTCAAGAGTCTTGCTGCTTCTGAGCTGTAACACCATCACCACAAACAAACACTTGCTGTCTTTTTTTTGATTTAAATACTGAACATGTCTCTATATTTCTCACCCAAGGAAGCTGTCACACCCTAATCAATGTCTATCCTTACACATATTTTAAGTGTACATCACAACACAGAAAATGTCTACCATGGTTCTCTTTAAGAATAGCTTAGTCATAAATTGTCCCTTTCACCATAGTAATGGAATCTAGAAGAGCATCAGGTTTGCTGTTTGAGTAAAGTATTTGTCCAAATCATAAGATCTGAAACCATATGAGGCTGAACTTACTGACTCCACATCTGCTTCTTCCTTGCTTGCTATGCCCAGCATTTTTTCTACTTAATTATCTCCCCTTCCTTTACTGTTTTATCTCTTCTATTACTGCTTTTACCAGGAAATGTTGAAAATTTAATTGAGCAACAATATTTCATAACTTTGACCAAACAATGGATATGTTTAAGCATGAAATAGTGTTTATAGATGAAAAAAGGTTTTCTTGCCAGTGTCTTACACAATAATGATTAAAGAGTGAAAAAAGTAGACTATAGTCTATGTTGCCTGGCTGCCTCCTACACTGCAAGGCCATTAAGCAGAAGAGTATATTCTTTGATTAATATTCACAGAACAGAAGCCAACAGTCCAGTACATCAATCTTATACATTCCGTAGTGGGAATAAGATATATGCACACACAAAACCAGCAAGACCCAATTAATCAAATGGAAACAACACACTAAAATACATCCAACACACCAAAGTTATGTCCATTTATGAAGAAAAGACTGTGAGTATGCTGCAGAAGGATGTTCTGTTTCGGTAATACACAAAGAACATATAATGCCTGCCAACTACAATCAGAGCTAAAGGAAGTAACACCCA